ACACACACACACACACACACACACACACACACACACACACACACACATCCGCAAGTAAATAAATCTAAACATATTTTCTTTGAAATACTTTCTTTCGGTGTTTTGAAATAGTCTTTTTGCTTATCCCTGGATCTCTCTAGGTGGAACAGGCTGGCCTCAAACTCACAGGAGACCAGCCTGTCCCCCAAGTGCCAAGATTGAAGGAACACACTGCCAAGCCTGGCTAAATTACAGGTTTTTTGTTTCTTTGTTTCCCTTTTTGAGGCAAGCTGGCTGTGATCTTGAACTTCTGATACTTTTTCCTCACCCCTCCACCTTGCCAATCAGCACATCTTATAAGTAAATGTGAAAACAGACCATAAGTCCTGGTGTGCAAGTGCACATTTTTTTTATCCCAGGACTCAGGAGGCAGAGGCAGGAGGATCTCTGTGAGTTGGAGTCAAACCTGTTCTACAAAGTGAGTCCAGGACAGCCAAGGCTACACAGAGAAAACCTGTCTCAAAGCCCCTCACCACCCCCCCCCCCCAAAAAAAAAATCAGAGGACATGTTGGGAGTGCCCGGGTTAGGCTGGCTCTCTACAAAAGCCCATAAAGGGTAGGGTTCCCCCCACCCCCACAGAACTCAATGGAGTCTAGTCTTATGTGCTCTCAATTTATGGTTATTGTCTGTTAGGTGAGGATGGTTTCTAATTCCTGTCCACAAAGCAGAGCTTGCTCACCATTCAAACTATAATTGTCATTTTCCCATAAAACATAGCAGGCAGGGCAGGCGGGATGGCTCAGTGGGTAAAGATGCTTGTAGTCAATTCAGATCTAGACCTGTCTCTCCTTGAGCACAAGGTTTTATTGCCCTCTTCCATCTGGAAGCATGGCCTTTACTTTCTTCAAATGTGTGTGTGTGTGTGTGTGTGTGTGTGTGTGTGTGTGTGTGTTCTGAGATCAACTTGATATATATGGCAGCCAGCTGAGAAACATCCTCCATGCTGAAGAAAATTAAATCAAATCCAAGGTCTGGGGTGTGGCTCTGTCGGCAGAGCTCTTCTCTCAAGCCCCGAGTCTGATCTCAGTTCTCACCTACCAGGCATGGAGGTGCACGCATGTAGTGCCAGCACTCAGGAGCTGGAGGTAGGAGGATCAGCAGCTAAAGGTCAGCCTTGGCAAATAACAAGCTTGAGACCAATGTGGACGTAGGAGACCCAGTTTCCCAGCAGCAAATCAAATCCAAGAACCTTGTCTGAGCCTGGGATGGGATCTTCGGCCTGAAGTCAGGAGTAACCACAGCCTCTGCCTTGTATGAGCCTCTGGCACTTGCTAAGGGCTGAAAGATACAGTGGGCTGACCTTTTCCCAAAGCATTTTTAAAACTTATGTAGCTGGTTAGTTATTTCTGAGATAGAGTCTGTAGCACAGGTTGGCTTTGTACTCACTAAGTAGCTGAGGATGGCTTTCAACTATTTGTTTTTAAAGACAGGCTTTCTCTAGCCCTGGCTGTCCTGGAACTCACTATATAGCCCAGGCTGGCCTCAAACTCACAGAGATCACCTGCATCTGCCTCCCAAGTGTTGAAATTAATGGCATGCACCACCCCACCCACTAACTTTGAATTCACGTGCTAGTTCTGGGATCACGGAGCAAACCACTACACTTGGTTTGCGCCGAGCCGGGGGAACCGCTCCGCAAGTCACCCGTGCCCTCAGGTCCTGTTCAGGACTTTTTCGGAGAACAGCACTTACTGTTTCATGAATCGGATTCGGGCTTTCCTCCGAAGGCCTGGAAGAGCAGAGAGAGGCAGGTCAGTGCTGGCTGGTAGATCGTGAGCATCAAGACTCAGAGCCAGAGAGGAAGACAGCGCGGTCAGCCAGGACCCACGACTTCATCTGGGGTGCAAGGGTGGTTCCCAAATTCTTCACATTTCACACTTTTGTTGTTTGCTTATATGTTTATGATATTTTAAATCATTCATTCCACGTTTTCATCAGCCTTCACGCATGCTACTAGGTCTTCTACTACTCTGTCCCTCTCACATGTGTAGAAACGTGAGGCACAGAGCATGTGAGTTGTTGGATAACTTGCCGAAAGCCATGTGGCTAGTGCCAGGGTCTTAATGTAGTTCCTCTACTCCAGTTTTTACCTTAAATAAGCTTTCCTGGGGACTGGGGGCCTAACATGGGGATGGAACCCAAGGTCTTGGGTTCAAATCTCAATAGAGCAAAACAAAGGTCATTGCCTTTTGCAGCAGAGGGCACCGGAACTTAAGAGGAAAACTAAAGCAGCTCACAAATGCTCCTTCCAGGCTGCAGGGGAGAACAGGAAGTGGACTGTGCTTACTTCTAGGGAGTTTCTATTTGCTTTTGAAACAGGGTCTTAGGTGGCTCAGGCTAGCCTCAAACCTCAAATCCACTACGTTGCCAAGGCTGGCCTTTAGCTCATGATTCTTCTGCCTTTACCTCCCAAGTACTGGGCTTACAGGCCTGTGCACCAGGATCCGAGTACTGGGGTTCTTAGAATGGGGTGCGCAGACTTGTGTGTGAGGGTAACAGTGTACCAAGGTATTCATGTCCTCAGCTGCAGTTCCCTGGGGAGGGAGCCCACAGCTCTCAGAAGCCGTGACCTGAAAGAGTTAAAAGCCCCTGATCTGGTCACTGTCCCAGATGCCATGGGAGGAAAGGCGATGTGCTCAAGGTGGCAGAGGTAAACACCAGGGCTGCTCGGGCCTCTCTCTGTTCTCCTGTCCATTTTTGGAGGCCGGTGTCTGCAGAGCCCGGGGACAGAGGAGCTAGGGACAGCAGGCACGAGAATCTCTACGAAGTGTCACTGAGGGGGTGGGCCGGCTTCTAGGAACAGCATTTAAAGGCCACTGCTGAGCTATTTTGGGCACTGGGCTTTCATCTCTACTGCCCGAGCTCCCATGTACCCAGCACATGGGTTCTGAGGATGTTACAGATAGCAGGTGCTGGTAAGCAAGCAATGCTCCACAGAAGGTGAAGCCCCTGAGGCCCGCTGAGGCCAAGATCACAGTCATCTGAGGAGGGAGCTGCCTCAGCGGACTTTGTCAAACCTAGGGTTTGTCTGGCTGCAGACCCAGGAGGAATCTCACATTGGCCTCCTTGGTCGGTGAGGGAGGTGTCTCATCGGTAGGGAACATCCAACATGCCCTGGGTTCAAGTCCTGACACTCTCCCCAAGTCCTTCAAAAACAGAAAGAGCCACTTGCAGACCCATAGCGTTTGTTGGGGCAAATTTACCACCTTCTCTGCTGCCCTAGTGAACAAAGTATGCCTATGTATACCTCAGATAGCAAAATGTGGGCCCTTCAACGTCCTGTAGCATGGACTTACAGAGAAAGTGGACAGCCACACTCAGGGACACCAGCAGGACCAGGATGCCTGCCAGCAGCAGGCTGAGGGGAACGAGGCTACACGTCAGGCCTGAAAAAGATGCACAACACTCACATTCAACACTGATTCAGGCACGGCAAGGAACTGGCTGACTTCTTGGCTGGCTTCTTGTTTGTTTTTGACACAGGGCCTCACTATGCGGCCTTCATTTTGTAGCCCTGGCTGGCCCAGGACTCACACAACCTGTGTGGGTCGTCTCCCCGAAGGCAGCTCCTCTGGTTGCATTTTTCAGAATTCTTCCTTATTGTTCGTTTTAAAAATCACTTTAAACATTACTGAGGTAATTTCATATTATGTCATGTTACATCTATGTTTTTGAAATGTTAGCTGGAGAGTGCTCAGCAGTTAAGAGCACTGGCTGCTCTTCCAGAGGACCTGAGTTCAAGTCCCAGCACCCACATGGTGGCTCACGACCATCTGCAATGGAACCTGGATTCCTTCTTGTGGTGTGCATGAAGACAGCACACTCACCTACATAAAATAAAGTATTAATAAAACTCAGGGGCCATTTATGTTCAAAGAAAGTAGACACATCTTGTGCCTAGTAATGAGATTTTACTATTCATTAAAAAAACACCTTTGTTTGAATTTCACAAAAAATAGCTATATTTTCATTGTATTTTACACAGGGTTAGAACACTCACAGACCATCACTAGTAATTTGGCAGTCTTCCCCTTTGCATCTAACACACAGCAAACCCAGAGGTTCCCCTGTCTCTGCCCCACCCCCAAAGCCGGGGTGCAGGTGTGTGTTGCCCAGCTTTTCGTGTGGGTGCTTATGATTTGTTCGGGGCCGAGTGCTTTCCTAGCAAGCACTCTAACCTGAAAAGCCATCTCCCTAACCTCTCTCTTTGCTTTTTGATTTTAAACATAAGGTTTCCTGTATCCCAGGCTGGTCTCTGATTCACTGTGGCCGAGAATGATCTTGAACTTACAATTCTCCTGCCTCCATCTCTCAAGTGCTGGGATTACACTTGTGGGCCACTATGACCATTTATGCAGGGCTAGGGATTGAACCCAGGGCCTTGTGCATGCTAGGCAAGCACTCTACCAACTGGGCTACATCCTGGCCCCTTAGCTTTCTCCTTTTTCGTATAGTGGGTTGTACTGTGTCCATTTTTCTCTGATATGCATCCCTCTATATATAAATGGTCTCTCCTCATTTCTTACTTTCTTGCTCCTTCCTTTCCTCCCTCTCACTCTTCTATTTTGCCCCTCTCTCCCTCCCTTCTCCCCACTTATATATGAATACATAGATGTATATATGTATATATACATGTGTATATTTCTTAATTTATTTATAGACAGGGTCTCATTCTGTAGATTAGCCTGGCCTAGAACTTACTATGTGTCCCAGGCTAGCCTCAGACTTACACTGACCCTCCTTGCCTCATCATCTTGAGTGCTGAGATTACATGCAAGAACCTTCATGCTTAGCTCGCTTATTTATTTATTTATTTATTTATTTATTTATTTATCTATCTATTTATTTATTTATTTTTTACAATGTCAGAGATTAGAAAAGACTTAGAATGAAAAGGCCCAGAAGGTGCGACAGGTCTGTATGAATCATCTACAGCTGTTCAAACAAGGAACTCATTGGCATGTGACACTCTCAGCTATGTGCGTAGCTTGATTTCATGCCCCTTCACTGGCTATTTGTAAGAGAAGAAATCAAGGCTGTTCCCATATCTAGTGCAAAACAAAAATTTTATTTGTGTGTGGTGGGGCATCCAGGAAATGTTGAGACTCATCGTGAGTAAGGTTTTTAAAGGTGTTGGGATTTTACACTTCATTCCAACATCCTTAGAAATCCCACCACATCCACTGTTTCTTTTCTGAACTCTTACAGCTTCTTATAGAACTGTGCTTCACAGAACATGATTCATCTCATTATGTTATGCAGACTATTTTCAAACTTACGAGCTCAAGTGATCCCCCTGCCTCAGCTTTCTGGAAAACTAGGCCTGCAGGGGTTGTATTTTGTGGGGTTTGTTTTTATTTTTGTTGCTTGCTTGTTGGTCTTTCTAATAAAGTTTTCAGGGCATAATATATTATAAAATGAAGTCACTCTGTCTTCCCCTTCATATTCTGTAAGACTTTACCTTTCTGTTCATGAGTTTAGGTTTTCTTTTTCAGTTAGCATCTTGATTTGTTTAAGACAGGGTCTCATTTAGCCCCGACTGGCCTTAAACAAGCAGTGTAGCTGAGGGTGACCTTGAACTCCCCGTCCCTTGCCTCATCTCCAACCCCAGGTGCTGGGGTTACAGCTGTAAGGCACAAAGCCTGGCTGGGCTCTGATTTTCTCTCCACAGTGACCTCAGGAGGCAGTCCCTCCCCACCTCCTGGACCCTACAGGGAACACCTCCACTGGGGCTTTTGTGTGCGGCCATGAAGCCAGGCTGTACCCTGCAGCCTGGGCTGCTCTTGTGGTTTCTGCTCTGGGCAGTGGCAGATGTGGAACTTTCTGTTTGTCACCAGTAACTTTGGGGGGTTGAAGTCAGTATTTTTCCAGAAATACCTTTGAGCTAATGGCTTCAGAGGAAGTTCACGTGTGCCCTCCCCAGCGGAGATGCCTGGTGTTTGCCTGCTAGCTTGCCTGATTCCCACCCTCTGTGTTAGGTCCTCTGCTAGACATAAAGGCTGGAGAAGAGGGATGGCTGCTCCTCTGGACTAGAAGGTTTTGTTCGGTGACAGCTTAATTGGGATATGATTTGCAAACCAGAAACCCCACCTGCTTAAAGTATATAATTTTGAGCAGGGTGTACATGTCTATAATCCCAGAATCCATGAGCATAAAGTAGAAGGATTTTGAATTTGAGGTCAGCCTGGGGGGTTAAGCAGGTAATTCCAGCCATCCTGTATCTACATGGGAAAGCCAGGCCTCTGTGAAAACTTAAAAGCACACTCTAAGGATTTCTGGGGTCCTCCTAGAGGCATTAAGTCATCACACCATCTGACTTTGGGACACAATCAGGCGGCAAGCGCTGTTCCCAGCGGAGCCCGGTACTTGTCTCTTTATGTGCCTTTGTATTACCTGCGTTCTGTCTTGACAGCCTATGCATCGGCTGAGAAACATTGTTCCCACTTTTCTGGCTATGATAAATGTGCTGCTGTGGTCACCTGTGTGTGGGGATTGGGTAGATATATTTTCTTTAAGTCTTATTCTGTGGTGATTTGTGAGTGTGGCCTCATTAGACTGTGAGCTGCTGTTATACTCAGTGTCCCTTTTTTGGGCACCATTTTGGGGCTAGAGAAATAGGCTACAGAGCCAAGATGTGGCAAGTGTTTGTAGAAGGAAGAAAGGATGGAAGGAAGGAAAGCAAGAGAAAGAAGGGGAGGGGCAAAGGGAAAGTGGAAAGTTGTCTTTTTTGTATGGGAGCAGCCATGGGGAACTTACCCTTCTGGGTCTTCGGGCTGGGGAACGGGCACTGTTTCTTCCTGAGGCTAGTCTTCTTGGTGGTCTGGGGAGTTGTAGAAAGGACATCAACTACAGAGAGAAGCAAGATCCGTATCTTAGCCGGGGAAGCGGCAGGACTCATAGGCAGACTGTGTGCCTTCCTTCCAGGCACTGATCTTCGTGCCATTGTTCTGTGTCACAGGACTTCGGGTCACAGAGCACAAGAGTTCATAGCTAATTTCTCAGCGCAGAGATCAATGTGGATGGAGATTAGCCAGGTGTCCTGGAGAGAGGCTGTGGGGCCACCAGATGTGAGCAGAGCCTGGTGCCCATAATTAACAACTGTGCAGCCTGGACTAGGTCCATCTGCTGCAGATGGACTTAGAGGGAGCTTAGGGAGAGGCAAGTAAGTTCTCCAGGCCCTTCTCCTTTCCTTGAGTGGGCCCTCCTCTCCTCAGTTTTGATCCAGCGTCTCACAGTGAGGGTTGGGAGAGGAGTGGGAGAGGACAGTGGGATTGATGCACTGAGCATGTTCTGAGGCGTGCAGAACGGGACCATCTACCCTTCAACTTTGTTAGCCAAAAAACCAGATCTCCTGCGTACTACTTTCAGCAAAGCAGTAAGGGAAGGGCTAGGAAAGACCGTCTCCCGTGCCTGACAGAACATCAGCCACATTATTAGGCCACTGCAAGTCTTTTGACCATGGCACCGAGGAGCTGTTTGCTGTAAAGTGACAGCCAATAGCAATGACAAGGTCAAAGAGTCTGGCCCTGCTGAGTGTTAAGTCCTTTAAATGCTCAGAGCCCCTAAACTAAATCCATTTGCCTCATCTTACAGCACAGAAGCAGGCGTCTCTCAGATGCTCAGGGGAGAGCCTTGGGGAGCGAGCTGCAGCCTCCAGTGCCTTGGCTGGGAACAGCAGCCTGCTCTGATGGGAGCGATGGGGACAAGAGGAGGATGTTTTAATTTCATCTTCTCTGAGTCAGGTCCCTCCATCATCTTTGCGTTCGACCTCTCCCTGTCTGTTTTGGAGAGAGATGGGTCCTTGGAACTCATAGTGTGCCCGAAGGCCTGAACAAGGCCTGTTTTCCCTAACAATATGTATACTGCTCTAGCTTCTTTTCTAAAACACCGGGACCCTTCAGCCAGGCAGGTAGGCTCAGGCTCAGGTGTCCTGTCACTGGGGAGATTTTATCCAGGGACAAACTTTGGGAAGACACTGCTGTTCCTGGGCTGTTGGACAGTACGCAGGACTTGGGAATGTGGAAGCGAGGATAGGTAGAGATGGAAAATTACCATTTACCTTTCTCGGACCCTGAAGCACTGGGAAGGCATGGGGCTCTTAGAAACAAACCCCAAAACCAACAAAACCAACACAACCCCCAAGCCCCACAGAAGCCCATGGTCTCATCTGCCCTCACGTCTGACCAGACACTAGAGAGGCCATGGAGACCTCGCTCTGTCTTTGTTGTCACTGTTTTTTTTTTTTTTTTGTAACTCCAGCACTACCCCCACTTGTCTCTGTACCTCCTTAGGCTGAGTGGCCAAACTTCTGGGGGTACCCTGGGTACACTTGTGACTTTTAGCCCACAGGTGAGTGGGAAGCAAAAGAGTGAGAGTGTGTTGAGCTGGAGAAAGAGCTATGGCCAACCACTGGCCTGAGAGACTCTATGGTGACCCCTTCCACCCCAAGAGACGAATCCTCCCTGTCCACTGGGGCTGGTCTAAACACAGATATGCTGTATGCATAAAATACATACCAAATGCCATGCAGGAAAACAGGTCACCTGTTGGCATGCTAATACTATTTTGATAAATTTGGTTCATTAAAATGCACTATTTTGTCCTACGTAGATGCCTCTTTGAAAATGGAAAATAATGCCTGTGGTTTGAAATGTACTTCTGCATTTAATTCATGAAACGGAGGCTTCCGAGAAGTAGAGGTGGGCCAGCAGATATGGAAAATGAGGTCTTGGTGGGGAAAGCCATGTGACGGATTGAAAGCCCGGTTAGGCCTGGGGTCCAGTTTCTTTACCCATTGAAGCCCCAAGTATGGATTTGATCCGTAGAACCCCACAAAGAATGCTCAGAACAACCTCTTCTTTGCTACCTCGGAAATGCTGAGTATGTGCCCAAGGCAGTGAGAGTCTATATGTACACTCAGCATTCCTGAGACTGCTGTCTTGTCTCCATCAGAATCATAATCATATGTATACTGACTGACCTATCTGTTTTCATCTCATCTGACTCCCATCTTCTGGGTGGATGGCAGCGTTAAGGGGCAATGCAATCTGAAAGGGTGCTTGGCCTGGGTAACCCAATATATATTTCCTGTTAGACTTAGCAGTGGTGCGTTGGTTATGGCTGCAGTGTGAGATAGCTCCAGTACCTGGTATGAGTGTGTGTGTGCGTGCGTGCGTGTGCGCGCACTCTATCAGAGCCCTGAGAGCATTTCTTACCTACGCTCAGCTCTGTTGCTCTCCCAAAGATTATCCTGGGGGTCCCAATCATCATGCAGACGTAGAAGCCACTGTCCTCTGGCTTCACATTGGTGAGGTTGAAAATGTACCGGGTTAAATCTGAAAATACCATTATATTCTTCTTTGGCTCTTCTCCGTACACAGTGATTCTTTTGGAAGGATTCCAGGAGGCCAGGAACTCATAGTGCTTGTCCTTGGTGGGGCTCTGGCGGTCTCTCATCCAGTAGATGATGTTGTTCTTATTAGTTAACGTCTTAGCCTCACAGGACATTATTGCTGTTTGGTTGGTTAGAACCGTCATGGACTGAGGGGTCTGAATGAGGGCAGAGCTGCTCCAGAGAGCTACAAGAAACCAGAAGAAATAAACCAGGCTGTTGCTATCACATATGAGCTTAGCACTCTGGGCAGAAGCACAGGAACGTCAAGTTTCATTACATAGTGAGTTCAAGGCCAGCCTGAGCTACTTGAGAACTTACGAAAAAGAAAGGGGGGGGGGGTGGGACAGGAGGGGGAGGGGTTTGTGAGGTAGCTCAGCAGGTAAAGGTATTTGTCACCAAGCTTGGCCTCCTGAGTTCAACCCCTAGAACCTAAAAGAGCAGAAAGCATCAGCACACTTTTCTGGTGCACAATGGCGGAGCCTTAGAATCACAGTGAGTTTGTAACTTTTGGACACAGAACATGCAAACACTGACTGCAAGGCAGGCATTCGCTGAGCTGGCCTTTACCGTGGCTGGTGCTTGGCGACGCACTGAAGTGTGTGGCCATTGGCATATATTATCTTAGCCAGGAAGCTAACTTGTTTGGAGTCTCACTGGATTCAAATCCAAAGAGCCAAAGTTGAGAACCAACGCTGGTTGCCCACCTCACCTGGCTGTGAGTCTGCATAGATAAGCCCTGAGGAGCTCTACACAGCCGAAAGAGACCTAAAGCAAGCTGGGAGAGGAGCCTGGAGTCACTGACACAGTGCAAGGCTGGTTTGGACAATCGAGTAAAGGGAGCTGACCCTGGGAGGTCCCCAACCCCTCAAGGGGTTGATCACCACTTTTTCACTGCGAAGGGCATTTATTGCAGAAGCAAGGCAGGGAGCTCATAGTGAGTAAGATGGGAAGTGCGGGCAGGCAGAAGGAGGTGCGGACGTGGCTCTGCACAGAGCCTTTGCCCTGTAGAAGCTGTGGGACCCCAGAAGTCACCAAGCTATGGTATCCTGTGAAAGAAGGGCAGCTTGGCTTGGAGCTGTTGTCCTGCTTGCTGCTGAAGGTTCGAAAGAAAAGAAAGGCAGGAAGGCATGGTGGTGCACACTTAGGATCCTAATGCTTGAGAAGTTGAGGCAGGAGGATTGCTTTGAGTTTGAGACCACCCTGGGCTACGTAGTGAATTTCAGGGGGAAAAAGAGAAGTGAAACCATATGTGAACAGTGAAGCACTCAAACAGGTAATCATGGGCAGACAGAAGAGGAACCCATGTGACAGGCTCACACAGGTAAAGTCTGCTGGCAAGTGTAATGGTCTCAGGGGGGTGTTCTGGGCACCAAGTGAAGTTGTGTGTGGAGGATCAGACTAAGTTTCTTTGACATCCATCCAAGACCATGTGGATTCCAACAAACCCAGCTGACCCAGAAAGCCCTTTTTTTGTGGCTTAGAGCAGAGGGCCACACTGAATACCATGACCAAGATATGACACGGAGGACAGGTCTGGCTGGGCAGAGGCCAGAGGATATGTGAGCCCAGGAGAACCAGCTGTTTGGGTTAATGGTGCAGATCCCTGCCTGTAACCGTGGCTCGGGCCTTCTGGCCTCCTCACAGCCTTTCCCTAGGACTGCTGTGATGAACTAAGCCTGAACCCACCCACAGACACTCTGAGCTCCCACTTGCACAGAGAGAATGAATATTCCCCTATGGCTCAGGCACTGCTACAGCCCCCTTCCCTCGGGGATCAGGCTATCACTGCTGTGCCTTGGCAGCCGTTTTTATGTTTTGGGTCACTGGCCCCTTTGGGAACGTTAATATGAAGTGATAATGTCAGTATGAATTGCAGTGCGTCAGGCACAGTGCGACTGTTATCTGATTTAATCCTCAGTAAACCCTACAGGGACTTATTTTACACAGGAGCAAACAGAGTCCAAGGGAAAGGTATACCACAGGCCACACAGCCTGTGTGAAGCGGACTCACACTCCAACCCGGCTCATAGGACTTGGGTGAATGAACTTGGAGCCATTGAACTGGGGAACCTGTGCACAAAGCGGGCCACATTTCCAACGATGGCAGGAGCCTTTCCAACAAGCCCAGAGGACATGCACATAGGCTTCGAGTCACACAGGGCCTCCTCTGATCTGCTTGGCAGCCCAGGATTCCATTTTCAGAGGGACCTGGTATTTCCAGAATGATTAGCAGTAGCTTTAGTGACTTGAAATAGCCTGGCCTCGTTTCCGTTTGTGATGCAGCTGAGCCAGCCTGGTCAGAGGCAGGTGCTGGCACGCCCTTTCTCCCTCAATAGCGTGATCAGTTTGGGGCTTTCTTTAAGTGGTGCCAGGCCAGTGGGAATTTGAAGGGTTTTCCTTTAAAAAAAAAAAAAAAAACAAGCTCGCTGGATCTAGTCACAATGACAGTCTCTAGGCCATACCTCTGTGCCAGCTCCAATGTCTCATCTGCAGTGCTGCTTCTTGGGGGCCACACTGCACACTCCCTAACTCCAGAGGACACTGGAGAGCAAGGCACTTAGAGTGTCCTGCCGAAGCTGTCCCTGAGCCCAGCTACAGCAGTGTTTGTCCAGTGTACCAGAAGCTCTTCCCGGAAGTGATAAGAGTCTGTGTGTAGACCCTAGCCTGACCCAGACTGCACCTTTGGGAAGTTCACAGGGCACTCCTCTGTGGCACCCTGAACAACTACCTTTCCCCTTAGGTTCTGGGTTTCTCTCTCCCCTTCTCTTTCTTCATCCTTCCTAGTTCAGGCTGAGGGACAGAGGTGGCTTCTGCCCTAGGCCTCTCAGACCTCACTGGGTAATGAGCTTGTAAGAGGAATCTCCTTTCCATGCTCAGCCTCCCCCATCCCCACAGGCCAGCTCACGTCTGTTCCTCCTGTTGCGGAGACTGCCAGTCCTTGCTCTATCACAGACCTGTGGTAGCCCCACTCTGGGTCTTACCTGACAGCTTCACACTGAAGACCAGCCAGAGCCATGGCTGCATCTTGGTGCTCTTGGGGACACCGGCTCCCCTCTGGGCTCTGTCAACTGAAAGGCGGATAAGGAGCCAGCACCAGCCTGAATGTGAGAAGTGGGGTGCTGATGGAGTAAGAGGGTGGGGCCACCAGGGCAGGGGCGGAGTCATGGTTTGTGCCTGTGTGTGTGTGTGTGTGTGTGTGTGTGTGTGTGTGTATACCCCACAGCCTTCATCCTCATCCTCTACAGCATCAAAGGCTTTGGCTTTTCAAAGGGCCCACCAGGACTCTGTTTTCTGGCCAGGAAGTGAGAGCTCTCAGTTATGCCAAGCAGTTGTGTGATGCCGCTTGTCCTGGGGAAGGCTCAGGAGAGAACACTGACACCCTGTGCCCACTGGGATAACTGAGTCCTGAGTCACAGAGGTCCGCATGCGCCAGGCCTCACAGCTTTCTGAAGCTGGGCCCTAACTCAGATACTTCTTCGTTTCTTTCTAGGCAGTGGGAGGAGGGGTTCATCTTGGTTTGAGGACACAGGCCACTGTGGTAGGGAAGACATGGGTGGCTAGAGACTGTGGCTTTACATCTGGGTGGTTCAGCAAAGAGAGCAGCTGTGGAGAAGCTCCTCAGTCTGGAGTTCAGCTGGAGCAACCAGACCCCTGGGGGGAGGAAGGAAAGTCAATAACACAGAGAGAAAGAGGCAGAGGGGCAAGCTAGGGTGCTGCTGAGGGGCTGGACCTTGCCTGAAAGTGAGGCCAGGTCAAACTTGGATCTAGAGCCTGAGGAGTGGGGTTGGGGGGTGAGTGTCTGCATGTCTCCCTCCCCCACCCCATCTTACAGTGCTACACGCTCCAGTTTTGAGATCAAAGCCCCAGCAGGAGCTCATGAACATGAGGGAGACCTGGTTTGGCCTATGGAGGTTGGCAGAGGTGAGTTGGAGGAGGGCTGTACAGAGAAACTGCCCGTGGTGATCTGTCTGCTGGGCAGAGGGAGGCCAGGGAAGGGCTAGAGGAGATAGAGAAGGACACAGCGTCAGCGAGCACCAGCCAGGCGGGACCTGGAGCCATGGGCTGTGAGAGCTGGGGTGTCAGAAAAGAAGCCGGGTATCACTGGTGGCTACAGCTGGCAGCGGGGTGAGAGAAGGAAGCGGTCTTGCTCTGAGCTCAGCTCTCCAATAGTGTCCACCATATTGTCCTCGTTCTCAGGAGAACCTGCAAAGGCCCATATGTGCACAGGGTAGAAAGTCCTAGGGAAACCACAGTAGTTCTCAAAATCAAGGTGAAGCACACTTACCACAAAGGGAAGCATGTGAGAGGACACAGTCCGTTGGCAAATGACCGGGGTGTTCACTCCCCATCTGCCGCTTGTGCCAGAACCCGGCAAGTGCTCCTCTTCATCTTTGTGCTGCACTGACTTATTCCTCACAGGTGAAACTGTTCAACTGATGGCCTTAGTAAAGCATTTTTTTGGTTTTTGGAGAAAGGGGTTCAGGCCCAGAGATGACTTTAAACTCCTGATCCTCCTGCTTCTACCTCCCCAGGACTTCTTAACCTTTTTATACTTGTGATCCTTTCTGCCTCTCAGAATCTTCTATGTCTCCTGGTATAAGTCTATGAAACAGATATACAGAGCAACCGTTTACTGATAACCAATCACAAACAAATCTGTTTTGTTCTGCTTTTTTAAAAAGATTATATTTCTGTGTGTTTGTGGGCCAGAAGACCGCATCAAATATGTTGCAGCTGGAGTTACAGGATGTACGAGCTGTCTGACACAGCAGTTGCGAGCCTAACTCGGGTTCTTTAGAGGAGCAGCAGGCACTCTGAGCCACTGAACTGTCTCTCCAGGTCCCAAGAAAGTTACTTCAAAGAAATTCTTTGCCATACATATAATGTTATCATTAATTAATGATGAAAATAAATTGCATACTAAAGGAATAGATATACTTGCTTATTTTTACACGAAGAATTAAATCTGGCCTAAATATTTGATATTGCAGGAGCAATATACAGAGCAACAGAGTTGAATAACATTTTAATTTTATAATTGTTAATGCAGAGAAAGCTGCTTTACATAAAGATAACACAGAATGGCAGATGTATGTTTAGGGACACCAGAAATTATTAGCCCAATTTCAGGCCAAAATCCACTGAATGATTTAAAACATTTTTAAATGTATTTATTTCATTTTATGTGTATGAGTGTTTGGCCTGCATGTGTGCATGTGTTTCATGTACAGGCCTGGTTCCTGCAACAGTTAAAAGAAACTGTTGGGTCTCCTGGTGCTAGAGTTACAGAAGGCTATGAGCTGCTCTGTGGGTGCTGGGAACTGACCCTGCGTCCTCTGTGAGAAGAGCAAGTGCTCTTAACTACTGAGTCATCTCATCATGGTTTTTTGTTTGTTTTGTTTTAAATAAAACCCAAGTCAGCAACTCAAAAATTAATTATAAAAATCAGACATCTTAGTCAGGCAGAGGTGCACATGGCGTTAATTCCAGCACTTGGTAGGCAGATGCAGACAGATATTTGAGTTTGAGGCCAGCCTGCTCTGCAGAGTGAGTTCCAGGACAGCCAGGGCTACATACAGAAACCCTGTCTCAAACCACCCCCCCCACCCTGCAAAAAAAAAGGGAAACTTAAAAAAATTAAGCATTTTAACATGGTACAATATAAAATATACTAACTCAATATTTGCCTGATAAGAGGTAATACTTGGAAAATACTAAAAATACTAAAAGTTCTCGTTTTTGTAACTAAACCAGGGTGTTTCTGTAAGAGCAGAGAGTTTAGTACCTCCAATACAAACATATAATTCACAACACGGAATTGTCTCAAATCAGACTTCAGTTGCTCATGTTTTGTGGTGTGATGACAGTGCAGGGCCAAGAACCTGCCCTCTGTATTCAGAACCAAGACTGCAGGGCCCTGTGGTAAAAATGAAGTAAGCACTGGGTTCATCAGACACCTGGCTTTTTTGGTCATCGTCATCGCACATTCAGAAACCTTTCATCACAGCCAAATTCTGTGCAAGACCCATATTACAGGATCATATTACAGTTACAGGATCGCTTCGGGGGTGGTAATCCGCACTTTAAAACTGGAAGTGTGTATGCCTCCACACCCAACGCAAGCACCTGTCGGAGTTCCCGGTTTTTAATCCTCTTGGTTTATACCCAGGGGTAAAGACCTAGGGGTATACCTAGGTCTTTTGGTCAGTCTGTTTAGGAACTGTCTGTTTTCCACAGCAGTGGCTTCAGTTTGCAAGTGCACCAACAATGGAGAGGAGCTCCAATGTCGCCACCCCCTGCCAGGCCTCTTACTTGTAGGGTTCGATTTGGTACCCAGCGTAGTGTCTGTGAAGGGCTATCTCAGTGCAGTTTTTGTGAAGGGGCTTTGGTTTGCACACTAACTAAAGCTGTCAAGCCTCTTCTCGTTGCTTATTGGTCATTTGTATGTCTTTGTATGCCTGTTTAAAATACTTGATTTAGAAAACACATTCTACCTCTTTCAGAGGAACGTCTGTGCTGTTCACGTGGCTTTCTTAGTCCTACTCACTGCTACTCACAGTAGAATAGAATTGCCTCAAGTCCATCTGGTCAGCATGTCACTGTCAAGTGCCTCATCAAGGTCAGTGTGACCATCCATGTATGCTTTCCACTTTCATGGACACCCAGCTGTGCTGGTTAGCTTAAACTATCAACTGGACATAGCTTAGAACCAACTCAGAAGAGCTTCAGGTGAGGAATTATCTAGATCAGGTTATGGGCGTGTCTGTGGGGGATTAGCTGTTAATTGATGGAGGAAGGCTCAGGCCACTGTGGCTCAGCCCAGCACAGATCCCTAGGCTGGGCCCTGAAATGTGTAAAACTAGAGAAAGCCACCAAGAGATCAAGCAAGCGAAGATGCATTTGTTCGTTTTGCTCTTGACTGTGGGTGTTATGTAAGGAGCTGCTTTGAGTTTCTGCCTCAACTTTCTCCTAGAGATGGATGTGGAACTTTAAACTGATATAAACCCTTTTCTCCCTCAGGTTGCTTTTGATCAAGGTGTTTTGTCACAGTAACATAATTGAAAGTTCAACACCAGGCTTGATAAGGAAGCAGCTTCTCAGCGATTAAAAGCAACTGTTCTCTGAGGGGTGTTACTCAAAAACCACAGAGAGGGAATACCTTAGCGGGAATTTCCCTTGGTTGGAAACTCTCCACCTTATGATAAATTAACCTTGAAATATTGGTGAAAAGCCACTAAGTCATTGGTGTCATTCAAATGCAGTGTGCCAGGCTAGGAAGTATGTGCTCCACTTGCTCTGCCTGGGACCTCAATCTTTCCGTTTTCTGAATTCCTGTATTCAGTTCATGGCTCCAGGAATCTCTGTGCAAGTAAAGCCAATAGATGACTTCACAGTTCGTGGTGGGGAGAGCCCTACAGACCAAGACCTAAATCATACAGACTCCCCCAAACTGCAAGGATATAAAAACAAAACAAAACAAAAAACAAGAGGAACCTTGCTGGAAGCTGAGAGGAAATGGAAATGAAATCACTGTTACTCAGCCTGCATTCACCATGTTGGCATGGCAGAGAGGGTCCCGTTAGCTTTGATCCTCTGTTACTTACTTGTCCTCAGACCTTGATGATGATGTCACCATGCAGGGCATCTCTCGTGCTTTTTATAGTGACATGCTGATTGAACATCACAGGGCTAATTCAGTGGCCACAGTCAAGGCTATTTATTCTTTCTTCTCCCCAACCCCCTTTCCCCTCTCTCCATCAGACAGTATTTCACTCTTTTTTAAAGCTTGTTACATGTGCACAGCATGTGTGTCGATGTCAAAGGACAACTTTCAGGACTTTTCCCTTTCCACCAGGTGGGTCCTGAGGAGTGAAATCACTCTTCAGGCGTGGAGGCAGGTGCCTTGACCTGCTGAGAATCTTCCCAGCCTATGGTCACGTTATGTTCCTAGTACCGGCCTTAAACTCACAGACTCAAGCAGTCATGGCCCTCAGCCCCATCTTTTTGCACATACTTGGAAGTGTCACTCGGTTATGGGAGCAGTTTG